ACGACGCTCTGACCGAAATCGCTCCCCGGAAAGAGCCTAAACGCCGGGTCCAAGCGCCGATACCCTCCGTAGAGCGAGACGAGGAACTATGGGTGATCAGTTTTGACGGATCCGCTCGAGTTAAGCGCGGTGGGGGCGCGTTCGGCGCGACCGTTGGAGTCTGCCCGGAGGTGGTCAAGGCCAGATCAGGCTATCTCAAGAGCCTCACCGTGAACGAAGCCGAATATAACGGCCTGATCCTGGGGCTCGACATGCTAGAGAGCTTAGATCGCAGACGTCTGGTGGTCTGCCGGGATTCTAACCTGGTGATCCGACAAGTACGGGGTGAGATCGACTGTAAAGCACCCGGTCTGACGCTATTGAAACGGAAAGCCCTCGATCGCTTGAGGAAATGGAGCGATCATGAGTTGGTTCACGTCAAGAGGGACTGGAATGGAAGTGTCGACAGTCTAGCAAGCACTGCTTTGCAACGACAAACGGGGATCGAGGTCTAGGAGGGTCCCGGGTACCAGGATCTGGTTACCCTGAACCGGTTAGGCGAAATCCTGATACCCAAAACCGAGAATCCAGTGGTACGAGTTGTCGCGGTGACCAATCGAGCTGGTCGAGCAAGATCACCGACGGGTGTCATGGAAGAGGATCTGATCCGGGAAATCCGAGTCGATCGGATTAAGTAGGTTTAAGAGGAAGAAGTCTGGATCGCCGGCATGAAGAACTATCTGAGTGGCTCAATCGCAGATCTCACACAAGCGGAAGCAAGATCATATGGCAAGATCGCGGCCGACTACGAGGTAGACGAGCAGGATCTACTCTTTTACTGCCCCCCACGCCAAGATCGGGGGACGATCGTGACCGATTGATGAGATTGGTAGTACCCGAAACGCTACAGTCGGACGTTTTACACCACTACCACACAACGTTGGAAGGAGGAGATCAGGGAGTGGGGCGGACCTACCAGCGGATCAGGGATCACTTCCATTGGAGGGGATTATACCGGAGCGTCCAGCGATATGTGGGGGAATGCGTGGATTGCGAAACAGGAAAAGGAAAACCGGTGATCCGGGGCGAATCACCAGGGAACTTGCAAGCGACATACCCGTTCCAGATCATTGCGATGGACCACATACCATCGCTACCCAGATCACACAAGGGGAACACTGAATTATTGATCTGGGTCGATCTGTTCACAGGATATGTGATCGCGAAGGCCAGCTCGGCCCGATCGGCCCAGACGGTTGAGGAATCGTACGAAGAGTGTGTATTTCGAAGATTTGGCGCCAGCGAAATGATCCGGCATGATCGAGAACCCGACTTTATGTCCGATTTCTTCCGGGCGTTTAACAAGATCTTGGGATAGCGGCAACGGGCGACGATGGCATATCGTCCACAGGCTAACGGTACTGCTGAGAGAATGGTGCAGACCGCGACCAGAGCGCTCAAGATGTACGTTCGCGATCTTGATCAGAAGGATTGGGACGAATATTCTGAGCGCCTCACCTTCGCGATCAATACAGCTCACGATCGGATCCGGGGAGATACCCCTCACTATTGGGTACATGGGTGGGATCCGAGGTCGACTTTGGAGGCTACACTGCCAGTCGGATGCACGAGACGGCGAGATCGAGACGCGCGGCCATACCGAGTCCAGCGATACTATCAACAATCCTGGGAACAAGTCAATGCCAGATTGAAGGAGGCCATCGCAGATCGAGCTGACCGACA